AAATATTTATGAAACTAAAACAATCAATGAGTTTATTATCGTTTTCCTACTTCTAGTTTATTATTATTACATAAATGTGTTGTAATAATAAACAAAAACAACAGAAAATATAAATTCAAAAAGAGTTGAAAAACTTTTCTTAAGAATTAAGATTTCATAAACACATTAGCAATACATGTGTTTAATTGAATGAATACATTGTCTGTCGAGAGCACCCATTATATATGAAATATCATTTCTGTGAGTGAGCTTATCATTTAATATCTTCTAGTTACTATCTAATCCTAATTACCATGGTATAAATATTTACGCGCATTGTGTCGTAGCATGCATGAATACAAATTGTCCAATCAATTTTCTCAATGAATCACACGTAGCGTGAATTGCACATCCATGGGGTAATACGTAGCACCCGGCATATCTCACTGATAATATAATATTATAGTAGTCTAGCAATACAGCTGATAGTGTGTTGGCTATTCATGGTGCAATAGTTTATTTAATCAGCACAAATCTACATGTATGATAGATAAAATGTGTACTGATTTGTGCATACAGACTCCTAGTTATAATATCCGTGTATTTGTTGTTTGCTGTAGTAAATGAAGGGTAAAATGTGAATTCATTGTCAATTAGGTGCATTAGCTCTCAATTTAATTAATTGCTTTGAAAGAGTTATGAAATCAATTTAATAGTAATTTCAATGTAAATTGTATACAAGGCGTACACATGTATGTGTGATGTCAGTGACATACAGTAGTAGTGATAATGAAAGTACGATCGATAAACACAGTGACAGTGATATTAAATACCATGACATCACGTAAATAATGTGATGACAACTGAGAAATGCAATACAACTGTCGATATTAAAGTAGTAAATTTTAGTAAAGTGAATTTATTTATTTATCAAAAAAGTAAACTCACGTAACACTAGATAAACGTGAATAGTATTCTGGGAATAGTATCTAAACTACAATACAATTCTCTAATCAGTTAGTGATAAAAAATAGCCATATTTAGTAAAAAGTAGAAAAGCATTATTAGTTCACATTCCTGATATTGATACTGAGCATTTTATATTAGTTTAGGGGTATTTCCGATGCAGTGACACGCGATGTTTAAAGGCTTTAGTATTTATAGGTTTTCAGAATACCGATAGGATTTCCGATATGACAATTATGGTGTAATTATTATATAATGTAATTCATGTTAATTATTTCCTTATTGATAATTAGTTCAGAATTGTAAGCATAATATTTTAATGTGGTGTTAAATTAATGTTTATTTGTTTATTTTAAATATTTTTTATTATTTTATAATTTAGTTATGTAGTGTCAATATTTATATAATTGTTTATTTATGTTTATAAAACATGAATCTTTAAATCAAAAATATTGAAATAATTCAAACTGTATTCAAAATTAGACAGATTTACACATGAATTAAAAATACCTTATATATATGTTATATTTATTCTTAATGTATTCTAACAACAGTAAATTATTATTAAGCAATAAACTGTACATTATGTAGTTGTATAAAACATGTTTGAAATATGATACTTTTTTACGTAAATCTGTACTTTTATTGATACTTTTATTTATTATAATTTAAAAATAAATTAAACATGAAGGCATATTTATACAAAAATGTTATGATAAGTTTCATAAGTTTTATTTTATTATATGATTCTTTAGCAGAAAGGTGTCCAGGTGACAATGGTTCTGGTCAAAATAATGGTTTAAATCATACTGATATATCTGTATTTTATTTTTGTACTTTAACATTTACTATTATTATTTTAAAGTTAATTAATAATGAATATTTTTTAAAAGGTTACAGTAAATTTATCTAGTTCTTTAATAACATGCAAGATTGTTAAGTTTAATTATACAAACAAGAGACATATTGTCAAGGTAATGTCAAGACATAGCGTATTTTAATTTAATTGTTTTAAACTTATGTCTTAAATTTTATCTAAATTTAGTTCAATTTTTATTTTTTATTTTTAATTGAATTTATTTATTTAAATTTTATTTGTAAAATGTGTAATAAAATAAATTATGAATCAATCTATATTTATAAAAAAAAGTATTAATGTACTAATAAAAATAGTACATTAAAAACATAAAAATAACATAAACTATTTTTATACAGTATATCACTAAGTACGGTATTTAGCTATAAAATGTTAATATTATTTAATAGTCTAATCAGTCAGCTCATATTACGTCAAGTGTTAAATAATCTCAATTTATAAGATATAGTGAACAGCCGATGTTTTATCATAGCATTTAAATATACCTTATAAACAATTGTCATAAATACCAATATTTTATTAGACATTGGCGTACACTTTATCTAAGTAGCCTGATAAGTAAGGTACGAATAGCTATAAAAAGTTTTACGTAAATGTGTTTTTATTTTATTATAGTTTAAAGGGATCGGTGACTATGACAGTGCCTTACATATGATTTTATATACCTGTGGTTTTCAAACAACTTATATATTAGACACTTATGCGACTCACAATGGTTTTGATTGCTCAGACTTTCTTAGTCTACCCGTCCATCTCAAGCCATGTCTCGTAAAAAATTATGTCAATATTCATAAACAAAATCTCTGTAATGGACTCCAGTTTGAGGGTAAGACTGGTCTGCCTATGGCTGACACCAACTCCAAGTATGTCATGCTTTTTGTGCACCGATTGAAACATGTAGTTAGTCCTCAGGAAATATCCCTTGGTAACCTTAAAAATTATTTAGATATGTTAGGAATTTCCATGTTTTTATTTTATTAAAGGGCTAAGATTTTATCACACTGATCAATTATTTTCCAATGAGCTGGATCATATGATGGCTGGGGTACACCCGTCTATTTATGGAGTACTAGTGCCGCCCAATAGAAATAATTTTGTAAATGTCGGTCACTGTAGCTCTGATTGCTTTCATCAGGTTTTATTTCCAATGGGCTGGATCATATGATGGCTGGGGTACACCCGTCTATTTATGGAGTACTAGTGCCGCCCAATAGAAATAATTTTGTAAATGTCGGTCACTGTAGCTCTGATTGCTTTCATCAGGTTTTTACACATTTCATGAAAATTTTAGTGAAATCCTAATATAGAAATTATTTTATAGCAATCAGGACCCTGGTCATTGACAAATGGTATTACAATCACACATATTGAACCACATGTTCACACAAAAGGCAATTATTTATTTGTAAATTTATAAATGTTAAATACATATAGCATTTTATTCACATAAACTATTTTACTGAACAACAAAATGTTTTATGATATGATAAGACTGATTGTAATTTGTAAAATAATTTATAATATTATTTTGTACAACAGGTACTAAAATAGTAATCAAACATTTGCGAGGCAATGATGAATTGGCAAAAGTGTTACAAATAGACAATTTCGATGAGGCTATTAATATATACTACAAACTCGATAATCTAGTTAATTTTAGAGACAAAGATATCTTATCAATTGAGTGCTACTATAATAATCACTTAAGTAATGAGACATTAGTTACACCGGTATTCAAACTCTAAGGTATTGATTGAGTGAATGCTTTAATAAAATGATTTGACTTAGACTGCCAAACACGGAGGTGAGATGTGCCTGGCATTCATGTATTATTATCCACCCGTAAAGGGCGGTGGTATGTGTTTCAGTATGTCTCACGAGTCTACCTTGCTTAAAAATGCAAACGTTGAACAGATATCAGGGTATGAAAAATATTATATTTTAATAATTAATGCAGATTAAAAGTCTTAAAACTAGGTAATATTTTGAAATGTATGGTATAGATATTGGTTGAACCCGAAGCCTATGATATTAAAACCGGATCATTTAAAAAATACCCGATTAGAGGACTATATCCGCAAAAAAGTTGACTTCAGGGATGACATTCAACAAGAGGTCAGGTTTTCTACCAAAAGAATTCGGTGTAGTATTGTTCAGCAAAAGAATGAGCCACATCAAATGAGATTTGTTAATTATCCTGATGCATTTATTAGAAATAATAGTCTTTATTTTGTTTGAAAAACGATAATATTAAATAATTAAGAACATTTATATATAATTACACAACACGAACATTTATCTAACTTTTAAAATTTATTAATTTATATTTAAAACAATAATATTACTTATAATTTAAAATTAATTTCAAAACAGATTGTAATTATAAAAGACACAAAATTGAATCAGCTTTAAAAATTTTAATCTTGCATAATAAGCCTGCATAAATAAACCTTTAAGAGTAATACAAAAAATACTATTTAGTAATATATAATTATTTATTCAATACTTGTTTATATTAATATGAAATTGAAATAGNACTATTTAGTAATATATAATTATTTATTCAATACTTGTTTATATTAATATGAAATTGAAATAGTTTTTAAAATTTTTAGTATCCCAATATATTATTAAATAAAGTGATTATGAAGGTGATTTTTTCAGTTTGCATTATTATGTATTTATCTCAAGAAATGCTGGGTAGTAATAGCAAAGGTGGGTGTTATCTATTTCATTTTAATTTATTTAAAATAAATAATAATTACTGTGTTATTAAACAAATTATTAATTGATTCAATAGGTCCATTACAAATGCCACCCTGGGGCATTATGCTTTACAATGAAAGCTGCCGATATGATTACACAAATGGACAAAATGTTGACCTGTATTGCACATTTCCCCGAACAAATTATACCCAATTACATTCAATTAAAATGTTTAAAAATACAACAATTATATACACAATGAACATATTGAATAATGGTGAGCAAATTGACCAAGCTCTTACAATTGTTTAATGATAAAATTGTAGGTACGGGGTTTTATTCGATTACACATACAATTCAAGATTTTGGACAAATTGAATCTAGGGAAAATAAGGACCAGGATTATATATTAATTAGTATAGCAAATACTACGGATCAAACATCGGGCATGTATTCGTGTGAATATAATTACCTGGATATCCCACATAACAAGCGTTTGGATTATTCGGTATCAAATATANAACATCGGGCATGTATTCGTGTGAATATAATTACCTGGATATCCCACATAACAAGCGTTTGGATTATTCGGTATCAAATATAATTTGTAATAAAAACTCGTGCAATAAGTTATATAATGGTTTGAGTGATTGTTACCGCAAATACCATACTCATATAAATTAAATTATTATGTATGATTTCAGATAATTTAAATCTATTTTAAAATGTGTACTTTTTCTATTTTTAAATATTGTTTATTAAAAAATGTATTAGAATATGTATTAAGAATTTGACATAATGATTTTATAACTACGATTTGACTTGTTAGAAATTCAATTAAACCAAAAATGCACATTTGAAATAAATTTTGTATAATTTGGTATATTTATCTAATTTATGCATTAGTCTTATATCTCATCTAGTTCGTATTTGATGCATTTTCTTGAACCAAAATAGATAAGTAAAAATATAAAACCCTACATATATACAGGTGACTTGTTTTAATGATTGAGATTTACAGTTTTAAGACAAAATTGATAGTATATAATAAAACCTTGCACCAAATATGTTTATTAATTATCATTTAAATACATTATATACCATATTTATAATATTTTAGAATATACTTGACAAATATATGTTTATAAATAATATGAGACAAATTGGTCAACAAAATCAAATACTTTACGAGCCAACTAAGCCATTATTATTAACACCGGGACTAAGGGTATATGTTCCAAATCCAATATCACCAAGTAAATATATCTGACACGTTGTAATGCAACTTCCAGATAGTGTCAATATGGCATAATAAGCTGTAGAAGTGGTCGCACCATTAATACTAGTACAGCCATTAGCCTGGTCAGCCTTGTATACAGCCTTGTAATTAACTTGCGAGCCATTACAGGGACCACCACTGACCACACCACTTGATATTTCAATCCGATCGCCTATTCAATTATAAATTTATTTATTATTTATCTATACTATTTCATATTTATCATACAATTATATTTAAATTATATTTGGAAATTATATTTAAATATTTAATTTCTAGCTAAGAAATGAATAGAAATATAAAGACATGATTACCATTGACATGTGTTTGGACCGAGTTAACTTGAGTGATAGTAATGGGAACAAGTTTAGTTGGATTCGGCTGGTTGGCAATCAGTGTTTCATTTCCAGGGTATAAAATCACTCCATTGCAACTATAATTAATAGGCATAGATATCGATTGAATCATTGCCGCGATGTTAATGGCACTGTTGGTACTACTCATGCATATAAGCACCGTTTCCTCCGTAATGGTTGTCATCACAATTGGAGTGATGGCTATTCAATGGACATGTATTTAATTAACAATATGACCATACTGTACACGCTGTTATATTTCACACAATTATATTTATATAATATCAATATATTATACATAGCTGACCTATATCGTGTGGCGAACTAGTAGGTGGGCTGGTAGGTGGACCTGTTGGTGGAGTAGTCGGTGGACTTGTAGGTGGTGTAGTAGGTGGACGTGTTGGTGAACTAGTAGGTGGACCAGTAGATGGTGAACTAGTAGGCGGAGTGTTTGGTGGAAATGTATGTGGATATTTCCCAGCTAAATATTTTATTATAAAATTGTTAAAAGTTAAGTTCAAACTCTTAAAATTTATGAGTTAATTTAATATAATATAATTAAATTTATTAAACCTACCCCATACAAATGCATTGATAGCAAACAAAATCAATGCAATTCTAAGCATTGTAAGAATACTCATTAACTTATTATTATTCAATTAATTCATATTTTAGGATATTAAATTTTATAACGATAATGTAAAATATAAAAACATTTTACTTGTATGCTCAATTTATATGATATTTTATAACATATGTTATAAATACAATGGTTGTTAAGTTAATGAGTCTTTATTGTTTAAAAAGTTATGACTAAAATATATAAATATTAATTATTATTTCAAATATTTATATTTTATTAGTTATTAATTCATATAATGAATACAATACATATATAATTTTATTAAATGTACAGTATTAAATTATTTATATATTGAAGTAAACTTTGAACAATACATGAGTTTGTTGAATCTAAAAAATAGTTAATAATAGACAATTTAGCAAGTGTTTTGTTAAATATTATTGTTAATTAATATTATATTACTAAACAATATTGAATGTAATTTTGAATAAACTGATATTACATAATAAAATTAGCGCTTGTTAAAATAAAATTAATTGCGAATTAATCGAAATTAAGAAATACGACAAAATAATTATAAATATTATATCAATTATAATATAATTGAGTTAAGGAAATTTTTTTTGTCAAATATTATGATTAAATGTCATCCATTAAATAATATGATTATCGTTGACTATTTTTTAATGTCAGGTGACCCAGGTACTAATAATCAATTACAGGTGCTCTAGTCTGCTCAAACCAGACCATTATTATTAATTCCGGGACTATTAGTATAGGACCTATACTATAGGTTGAAAATCCAATGACACCTAACAAATATGTCTGACACGTTGTATTACTGTACAATTACCAGATATTATTATTATGCTATATATAACGGTAACAGTGGTCACACCATTTATACTATTACAATCATTATCTAGGTCAGCTTTAAATAATGATTTGTCAATCAATTGTGGACCACCACTGATAATAATCTATTACTTATTATTTAAGTTAAAAATTTAAATTGACAATATTATATATTATTAGTAATAATTTATTACTATAAAAGTTATAAAAATTAATATGCCAGTATAATATTTAAAATTAATATAAGTGTAGCATAAATACTGTACCATTAATAAATGTAGGACCCAATTGATTTGAGTGACTTGATTAATTTATTGTTAATAAAATTGTAAATAGGTATTATACTAGAAAATGAGATTAGTTTTTATTTATATACGTATGTATAAATTATGTAGTGTAAAAATTTATTACTTGCAAAAAAACCTAACAATAAAATACAGAATATGATTCATATTATTATATAAATTATTCAATAGCTTAACCAATATCAAAAATAATTTTAAACTAAACTTTATTGTAAAAAGTTTATTAATAAATAAATAATTATATACCATATTTTATTATTTGTATATATTATATTATCTTAATATACCGTACATTAAATTATAAAACCAATACAATTCTATAAATAGCTCAAACTAGACCATTTTTATTAATTCCGGGACTTAAAGTATATATTCCAAAGCCAATGTCACCTAGTAGATATATTTGACATATTGTATTACAACTTCCACTTAGTGTCCATAATCTATAAAAAGCGGTACCAGTAGTCACACCATGAATATTTTTGCAGCCATTAGCCTGGTCAGCTTTGTATACTGATTCGTCACTAAACAATGAGCCATTACAGGGACCACCACTGACTACACCACTTCGAAGTTCCAACCGATCGCTTAATAATTATATTAAAAGTTTCGAGGTATTATTTATTTAATAGCTATAATGACAATGTTTATTTTTTGTAAAACTGTAACTGATAATTACAGTCCCTTATTGTATTTGTTTCAATTTGCAAATAAATTAATAGCATGCTTACCATTGACGTATGTGTTGATGTTACTGACATTGCTCACAATAATAGTGGTCAGTTTCACCCGATTTGGTTCGTTAGCAGTAAGTGTAATATTATTTGTAATATACACCAATCCATTACAGGTTACATTATTAGTACCTGGCCCAGCTTGAACCGCTGCCACAATATCAATGCCACTTTGGGCACTACCTTTGCATAAAAAAGCGTTTTCA